GCTCTGAATTTCCCCACTTTGTCAGCCATGGTCTTCCGCCTGCCCGCGGGAACATGATGATAGTAAGCAGCAAATTGCTCTCGCGATGGGCAGACGGCTCGGCCCATCCCTCGCCCATTTCTATGGAGAGGGACTCTCTCGCTACCTCCAGCCGAGAGCACTTTTCGTCAGAGTCCACAGAGACTCTGCCAGAAGTACACGGCTTTGACTCACTATTTGAGCTATCGGACCTAACGTCCGCCTAGGGGGCCTGATGAACAGAGCCAGATACATCACTCTCTAACTCCTTCCCTGATTCTTGAAAAATTGAATCATTGGGGGTACATAGAGACAGTCGGATTCGGGGAAGTTCGCAAAGGGAAGTCCAAGAAGGGATAGTCGACACTCCTAGTTCTAGACTCATCCGTCCTCGGTGACCGGCTGATCACTAACCTAGGCCGTGCCGTGTGCTTTTGGGAAACCATTTTTGAAAAAGAAAAGAAGCAAAATTAAAATAAGAGAGAAAATTAGGCGGTTACCTTAGATATGAAGGTACTGTAGACGCTTGAAGAAGTCTTGGACGGCTGTAGAAACAGATGGATAAGCTACAGGCGGCAGGAGTGCTTTTCTAAGAAACAGACAAGTTCTTTCCAAAGTCAAAAGATTCTTTGTCCGAAAAATCTCGTGAATATGCGAAAATGAAAGAAATTAGGACACTAATATAGAGAGGTAAAAATTCCAAGGGTACCCCTGACCTTTACTCCAGAAGGTAAATAGTAACATACTGTTCACCCGTCCGCATGTGACACTTGTCACAGGCGTCACGTGGCACGCCACGTCACCCCTATGAGATGCAAATGATTTGGGTATTTTTACCCGCCACGTGGACCCACCAGAGTCTGACACGTGTCACCCTAAGGAGAGCCCAATGTGGACCTACCAGGGGTCGACACGTGGCAGGCATATATTCCAACTGGTATTGGCTTCCTTTAAGGCCCAAATCCTAGACAGCCCGTTAAACCTAGGTTTCCGTAACCTAGGATGGGGGCATGAATCCCAAGACCCTATAAAAGGGAGATGTATCCCGCCTAAGGAAAAAACACAATTAATTACTGTAAAAAAAACAGAGGCAGTCAATGGTTGCTAGAGAAAACACCTGATCTCGGAATCCGAGAGGATCCTACCTTACTTTCCGCATCTTTTTACATTCTCCATACACGTTCTAAATTGATCGTCGGATGCGGAACTCCACCCAACCGGAGTCTCCGTTGTTTTGCAGGCACAGGCGCCCGGAGTCCAGTCTTGGTGTTGTAACTCTCCCGAGGGACACAGAAAACCCTGAAACACTAGCAATTTTATCCAAAATATCTATTTAAATTTTATTGAAAATAAAACTCTAAGCTAACTTTTATATCTTACAAAATATATCTAAATCTATCAACATTTTTATCCTACGTGTCATACTAATAAGGAAAATTGAAAACTAACAATCCCACCTTTACCTTTATTGCTCAAAATAATCCCACCTTTTCGAATTCCCAAAACAATCCCACCTTGTACCCTCATCTGCTCAAATGAGCCTTTTAACCTACAACTTGTTTAACAGGTTAATTTTTTATTTTTATTTTTACTTTTTTTTTAAAATTTTTTTTTTCAATCTCTCATCTCCCACCTTAGCTACTCACCATAACCACCACCACCCTTCCATAAGCACCACCTTATCACAACCTAACCCACCACCTTCTTTCTCTCTCCTAACCTCAACCACCCCACCACAACTAACCACGACCCCAGCACCACTAACCTCAACCCCAGACCACTAACCAGACCACCACTAACCACGACCACAGCTAACCACGACCCCACCACAACTAACCTCAACCCGATCTCATCGCCTAAACGCCACCCCGGAAAATGCCACTACCACCACTAACCAGCCCTCCGAAACTCCAAAAACCGAGGTCAAAAACCATCCAAAACGCCACTCCGAAATACCGCCCAACCCCTAGCCATAAACCCACCTGAATCGGAGACTTCAACCCCTAAATTCATTCAAGTCCGACCACTCCATTCAACCCGTAACTTCAAACCCAACCACCCACGAAACCCCTAAATTCCCCACGAAACCGCCACCCCATCGAGGAGCACCAACCCCAAAATTAAACCCAAACCCAGAATGAAATTCAAATCCAAAAAACCAAACTCAAACCTTGAAATCCCTAAAATGAAACCCCAAACCCAGAAAACCGAGTCTACGACGAAGGAGGAGCTGGTGGAGGAGTTGACGACGAGGGAGGAGCTGAAGAGGGTTGCAGTTGGTAGGGAGGCCGGGATTGAGGTTGCAATGGCGGGGAAACCGGTAAAGGGAGGTGGGGAAATGGGAGGGGTGGTGAGGTGGTGTCTGATGCGGTGGTGGGGAGTTGGGAAGGGAAGATTATTTTTGTTTTTTTTAATTGAAAAAATTAAAATTGTACCCATCAGAAGGTGACACGTGGCATGCCACCTTTTTAAACAAGTTACAAGTTTCACAAACCAGTAAAAGGCTTGTTTTGAGAATATGGGAGTTAAATGTGGGATTGTTTTGAAAATTCCAAAAGGTGGGATTGTTTTGAGCAGAAAAGGTAAAGGTGGGATTATTAGTTTCCAATTTTCCTACTAATAATTAGTTGTTGCCTAAGTGGCGCGACACTTGGCGAAAAGTTAAAACACCAAGTGTCGCTGTCTTATAACCTGACTAAAATTTTACTTTATATATTAGTTATTGATCTTGGTCCCAAAAAAAAAAAAAATATTATTCATACTCTCTAACGAACTATACATATCCTCTAACATAGTACATATATCCTCTGACAAATTTTTACATATCCTCTATCAAATAATACATATCCTCAAACAAACTATACATATCCTCCAACAAACCTTTGTTTTATTCCCTTTAAATGTTCTTTATTTAAATAATGATATCCTCTTTTGCCCTAAATATAAACTCTACTAAAATATTGATAATCTACGTAGTATAAATCATTTATCAAATAGTACGTATCATCTAACAAACTGTACATCCAACAAACTATATATATATATATATATATATATATATATATATATATATATATATATATATATATCCCTTCAAAAAAAATGAAAAAAATACATATCCTCTGTAAAATAATATATATCCTCTAACGAACAATATATATCCTATAACAAATACATATCCTTAACAAGTACATATCCTCCAAGAAAGTGTACATATCCTCTATCAAATAATAAATATCCTCCAACAAACTGTACATATCCTTCAATAAACTATACATATCCTCCAACAAACCCTTGTTTTATTGTTATTGGTGAGGTAAGCCTCACTAGCTTCTCTTAGATAATTTAATTGATTATCACATCAAATTTTCTATATATTTCATTATACTAGGAATATGTTGCTTGAATTACAATCATAAAAATTATAATCCCAACATTTGATTCAGATTTTTTTTTTTTTTTTTGACAGGAACATTTGATTCTAATTTGACTGTCTATTGAATAGCATTTGAAATTTCAATTCTCATCATTAAGCTTATTAGGGTTCAAAGATCTTAATATCTCATAACTTTATATATTTTTTTTTCTTATTAACAAGAAGAACTAAAAAAAAAAACCAACAAGTCAATAAAAAAGAAATATATAATAGCTGACGTCGTCATGCTTTGGTGGCCAACCAATGAGACTGGGTAACCTATAAATTAGGGACCTTTATAATTCTACACACAAAAAGACGCAAAAAAGTAGACTGAATATCACGTAATAACCACCCCGAAGAAATGGGAACAAAACCTAAACTAGACAATGAGGACAACATGGTAGAATAATCGGTGTACATGAGAATCCGACTGTAAACTTTCCGACTACCCATTTAGAGTGCACAGAGACACGCGTGTAATTCCGCTTGTAGAGCTAAAGCTAAGTGATAGGAGCCACTTCCAATAATATGAAAAGAGCTAATCCTCTGAAGAATCCAACCCATACCAGCACAATAATCCTATGAAGACCACACGCCATAGAAAATTAAACACACATTTACCGAATAAAAGGAATTAGAGGAAATCCCCTGAAGATAGCAAATATGATATGAAGATAGCAAATCCCCTAAGCATTGCATATGGATTATAAGATGAAGATCAAGATTTTATCGTTTTAACTCAAAGCCCTTAGAATTTCTAGCAACCTAATTCGCAACTGTTTGAACAAGCATATCCGGGGAAGAAGGAGACTTAACGAGAGCGAACATTGTTACGAGCCAACCAAATAGTCCAAAGCTAAGCAAAATAACAAACTAAACTATCCCAGACTCCCAGTACTTGGAGGACGGAGTGAGAAATAAGTCAATAACAGTGGTAAACCATACTGGAAAAGGGTTAGAATGTAAAGAGTCCCGACAAAAACCCAATGAACCACAGACACAAAGGCAACCGAAGAAAGGACAATCCCGAAAGAGATGAGACATTGACTTCTGATCTTACTGGAAAACATACCTAGGGTCTACTGGTTAATCCCTGGACTAAAGCTTAGTAGTAAGCGGTAACGCATCATGAATAAGTTTACAACCAAAAACCTTCCACTTAGGAAGGATGGGCAAGCCCAGAAATGTTTCCACCATGAAGATGGAACCTAAACAGAAGAAACAACAGAAGAGCAGTGTTGAATGAGCATTGCATATGGAGATTTTGATGAAAAGGTTCCATCACTAGTAAACTTTCAATAAACAAAATCATCCATTGGTTGAAGAGGCCGATAATATGGAAAGTTGTAGGATCATCAAAGAACCAATGAATATTAAAGGAGCCCCATGCATTAGAACGCGGATCAAGCAGATCAGAATGAGGGAGTGTTTCAAATTATTGACAAACACTTTTTTCGTTAGGTCTGCTACTAGTCATGAGTTGACTTCATGCAAGGAATTTAAAATTTCAAAGAAATTGATCCAAAAAAATATATATAAAAATAAAATAAAAAAATAATAATTAAAAAAAAAAAAAACAACCCATGTTTCAAATTCTATGCAATCTAAAGAATACATACAACAATTTATAAGTACATGTTTTTCTATATTACAACTCCCAACCTTAAAACACTAGTACTGTTATAAAGATAACATGACATTAATTATTTTTATTAGAGATCATTCTACTAAATGTCCAAGTCACCAACTATATGGTACACAGTCCCATCATAGGGAAAAAAAAAAAACAAAAAAAAAAAAAAACAACTCTATGGTACATAGATTCCAAGTCAAATTCAAGCACCAACTCCTTTAAATCTCCTTGAAAAGTCGATATCTGCTACTGCTATTCCAGTTGACAACTTATCTGTAACAACTAACAACAGAGATAATAGGGCCGATGGTACACAAACATCATTCAACACTTAAGAAAATTATAAAGTCGAGTATTTTAATATATCCAAAAGTCCCAAACAATGCTACAGTTTCTTTTACTTCTTTAGAACTATACCAACATTTCTTTTTTAGGGTCGTATCTTACCCATTGGTAAGCAGTTTATATTAACTTAGGAAGTTAGATATTTTTGTTGATTAAATTTTTTTTATAACCCAAATAGCATGGGATACATACAAATGGCCATGATCTCACCTTGACTAAACTAATTCATCATAAACCAGGGTGAGAAGTACAGATTAGATACTCGGAAAATGACAGCCCTCACACTTAGGATGCAATCTCTAGAATGGTGAAACCTTAAAACCTGAAATGACCTCTACGTTAGCTAGCTGTAAGACCTTGAGAAGCTGAAATCTGCAAGCAACGTGATCAAGAAGGGAACATATTGCATTATGAGTAAGCGAGAAGTGACTCTAGTTGAAATACCCCACATTCATATCAACATGACTTTTGATAAAGTTTTTGTTTTGTTTTTTTTTAGATCAGCATTGTACATTTCACAAAAAAAAAAAAAAAAAAAAAAAAAAAAAAAAAAAAAATTTAAAAAAGAATTAATACTCAGAAAATCTTGATAAACATAATCAGGAGCTAAATTGAGAGAGAGACTCATGAAATAGTTTTCTCCTGTGAAATTTGAACAAGGTAATTAGCTTACCAGGAAGCCGCCCAGCTATTGTTCCCTTTTATCATTATGCCTTCCTGCTTGTGCTGCAGCAATCACCTGCAAAAGAAAGGGTCATTAAAAATGTTTTCTATGAATGTAACTTGATGGCCTGACGAAACTCTCATTTGATAATTCTAGTTATAGATTCTTATAGAAGTAAAGATCCATGGATCAACAATTATCCTGAAGGTTTCAAACACTAATTTTATTGTGTTTAATTTTGAGGGTTGAATCAAATAGATGATTAATTTTATTGTGTTTAATTTTGAGGGTTGAATCAAAAAGATGATTAATTTCATTTTATGATGTATGCTTATAGATTGCTTGTTTTGGATTACTGTAGGTGCGATTGTAATCATGGAATATTTATATTTTTAATATGTGGAGATAGATAACGATATTAAATAGTGTCTGGCGGTTTGTAATTATGCCTTCTAAAAGATTGAGGTGATCAATCTTATTTTTCATAATACTAGGGTGGTCAACGCATGCGATGCGCGCGATATAACCAGCCAATGCGAATAAGCTATCATAACTTGTCTTTATACTTTGGGAGTGGTCGCTTGATTTAGTTATGTTGGTTTTATGTGACAAATTGGAAAAGGATTACAATGTAAAGCGTTTAAATAGCTTGTACGATGTACATATATAGTTATAAATCTTACAATTAGCAAGCATTTTGCGCGTGAAATATAAAAATTATTTTTTTGCATTTCACTTATAAATTATAAGAAATTCAAAAAACTACAAATTGTACATCAAGCTACAAAAACCAAATTGGTTAGTTAATAAGTGTAACATTTTTTGATTATTCTTTTTTCTTTTCCCTTTTCTATTAGTTCATTTATGATTCAAGTAATTTATTTTGAAAATACGAAGAGTATAACAGGAGTTAATGATAAAATTAAGCAAAATTTTGTTACAATTAATATATTTAGTTACTCAAATTTATAATTGCGCCTTAAAGTTTTAACATGTCCGTTTTGAATACATGAATCATATCGGAAAATGATAGATAAACATTAGTTACATTGATAAATCATTAAGATGATACTCATTAGATGCAAATCACGTCACCACAAAGCAAACAAAATCAAAACACAAAACCGATGGAGCACGAAAAGACTGAGAAGGTCTACACAACAATTGCTATCAATAATTTACCTAATCAGCATTTGGAGTTTAGACAGATTAGTGCTACATCCAACAGAATAAATACATAATACATATACTTAAGCAAATACCAAAAATACTTCATAATTCTCAGACTACATACAGCCAGTACCATTAAAATTAGAGGGCTTCAAGAATATAGCCTTAGAGTTTCCCGCAATCATATCTTGTGTGACTCGATAGATGGCGTAACACAACAGCTATGATTAGCACCAAAATCTCACCGGAAAAGTGGTATCTTTTACCAACAATACACCTCTAAGGTAGGTTAAGATTGATAAGAAACTACTCGTCGTCTCCTTTCCTTCAATATTCATCCAGAGTCTCATTTTACGCTCTTAACCCCAAAATGTCAATAGCAAATTTAATGAGCTTGACAAAGAACCATTTGCATCCCATAAGAACTCAACAACAGTTGTAAATTCTAAATTCTACAACCCCCAAAATCAAAACCAAAGTACAGCCTAAAGATCTTAAACAAAAACCCAAATTAATGAATGGAACTTGAAAAGAATTATTGTAAATTACCACCTCATCAACAAAATAAACAGGGGTTTTAATTATATTAAATTGATGACACCAAATGAATGAATGGAATTTGAAAAGAATTATTATAAATTGTAAATGACAATAATTGCAAAGAACAAGCATACATATAAATAATTAGAATTTCAACTATAAAACCTTTGGTTAAATTTACATGCAATATCAGTTAGAAACTCTACCCCGTATTGAGTTTTATATAAGCTTGGATTGATGACACCAAATGAATGAATGAATGAAATTTGAGCATAAATACAGTAAATTATAAGTGATAATAAATTTGATTGAATGGAATGTGAAAAGAATTACAATGCAACAATAACTTGCAAGCTAAATTAGATTTTTATGACTTATCACTAAAAAACACGCCTACATGCCAAATGTCATACAGCAGTTAAAATATATTACAGCAATTTAAAAAAAGATAAATAAACAAACTTACATATATTTTCAAGGCTATATACAAAAAAGTATTTGTAAGAACCATACCATTAGCATATAAAAGATTATTTATATAGTCAAATAAATATTAGAGGCCCTGCTCGTGGTTTAATTAATATTTTAGAAATGGAAACACCCTGATTTCTTATTAGTGCATTTTATCTTCTTATAAACTATGCATCATTAAGAAAGCCTCAAGGTTCTTAGTTTCCAATAACATCAGCAACTGTATTCTCAGAGCAACAGACATAAGATATTGCTATTAGATCCATCAGCTAAGCAAGTTAATGAGAAGTTTACTGCCAAGACAACCCTCATTACAGAAATTTTCACCAAGTAAAGAGACATGCAATGGGAGAGGTAGTAGGACTTCTGTACAATGCAAAAATTAAATAGGCATATTATACCTAAAGCCATAAGCTCAATTACTGCAAAATAATATTAGGAAGTGATACAGGCGAAAAAGAATTATAAGACTAATTAGTTTACTAAAATGGATCAACCCACACCCCATGAGACTCGTAATTGAGTTGAGTTGAATGACTTGTAGATATTCAATAAGCATCTTAGCACAAAACATAACGCATAACAGAATTATGAAGTCATAGGTTACAATAAAAGGTTTTATAGTTAAGACTAATCCATATGATTAACAAGTTAATTCACAGCACAAAACATCCAAACTAAATCTAAGTAGGGAAAGAGCTCAGTAGAGATGAATATAATCAGCTTGACAGTGAGACCTATTAGCTAAAAAGTATTTCAAGTTTTTAGCACAAAACAGCAAATGATGAAATGTTGTTCAACACTTATAAAGGGATAATTCTGCTCAACTTGATACCAACAACAGCCAAACATGAAACATGAGATAAAATAATGCGATTGATTAAAAAACACAATGGCACTAGATTGTTCCAAAAACAATGTAGTGGGATATACACTACCATGAGAAGAACATACAAGTATAGAATGCAAAAATTACAAAAATACAACAACCTTAAAATCAAATTCTGAAAAAGAAGAGTTTACCTTAACATATATGGCCGTTGTATATATGAGGTGAATTGAAGCCGAGGCCGGGGTGAATAGATCACCTGTCAAACGACAACAAGAACAATTTTTGTTTTTGTTTTTTTTTTTAAAAAAAAAAACATATAAATGTAAAAATGTGTTGTACAAAAGCAAATTTAATATGAAAATCAACCAATTGAGCAGAATAGAAAGAGGCCTTCCAACGGGTAATGCTTAGGACAATCAAATTGGTGTATTTCATTTGCATACATTGTTCCTGGTGCTTCATATACTGCAATTATCCAATTTTTTATTTTTTTTTTCTCTTTTCATAATCCAATCAATTTAGAGAAAATAAATGAAGACCCAGGCCGTGAAATCATAAAAGGAATAATACCCAGAATTAATCAAAACCCTTGAAAATAGAACTTCGTATTACCTGTAATAGAAGATTACGAATGACTTTGTGCTTGAAAACGGAAGGAGGAACGTCAAGATAATCCCCTCTATAGTCCAGTGAAAGGAAGCCAACTTTGAGCTTTAACCCCCATGAACGACTCTAGATGTTCGGCCTCGTTGTCGGTGAGAGTGGCGTCAAATTGAGGCTTGGAATCGTTGAATTGGACTCGCCGGCTATTGTATCTGTTGCTATGCCACTCCATCTTCTCTGACTCGCTGGCAATTGAACGGTTTGAATGGTAAGATGAAGGGTTGCACGGAATCTGATAATCGAGATTAGAGAGAATGGGAGATGATAATTAGGTGGAGCGCATGCGTGGAATGTTATAAGGTGGAATGTCAAATTGAGGCTTGGAATCGTTGAATTGGACTCGCCGGCTTTTGTATCTGTTGCTATGCCACTCCATCTCCTTTCTTTCTTTTTTTTTTTTTTTTTTTTTTTTTTAATTCCATTCACAAAAACAAAAAAAAGTGGAGCGCATGCGTGGAATGTTATAAGCTACACATATGATAGAAGCAATTACGTAAATACACATTTTTATTTATAAAGGTCACAACACTGTTCATAAGAGTCAAGTTAAACTTTTATAATGTAGGATAGGAAAATTCTACATTGACAATTTGGTTTCACAAATAGTTTTGTATATAAACTTATTTCATTTACATGGCAGGAAAACATTTCTCTACACAACGTTCCTTCTCTTGCTAGTAATCAGATTTTCTTCCATTGCCACACTCGCATAGAGTAGTCAGAGTACCATCGAATCCCTTCTGAATATTTCATCAGCTCAGTAATATATTATTGATGTAAAAGCTCGAAAAATACGGCACAAGATCCTGCTCTCCCAGTTGTAGCAACCAATGCTACTCCAATGAACATGGTGCAGCCTGAAAAACCAAATGAAAGTGCCACTGAAGTTCGAGAGAATCTGCCCAGGAGGCTCTTCCATAGCAGCATTTTAGTTTCGTTTCTTACAATAAATGTGCTTTGATGTACGTTTGATTGAAGCTTTTGCTTTGTCATAAGTTTGTTTCACTGGAACTTTTGTGTTACATAATGAATATTGATTCTCCATTTATGCATAAAATCTGCATCACATGTTACTTCCTCCATTAAATGTTAATTGCAACAAAGGGGTATTATTTGTGAGATATAAAATATTCTTTTGTTGCAATTAATATTTAACGGATGAAGTATTTCTTTTGAAAGGCAGTCTTGTATTGGAAGTAGAAGGTACAATAAATCCAAGAAGGTGTGGAAAAGTTCGAATCATGCATGTTATGTTTTCCCAATGCAAGATCTATATTGATGCTAGACTAGTAACTCTGCCTCACCATTCTATTTTACACCCCCCAACCTTAATATACCAGTATTATTTATGAAGAAAACATTACATTATTAGAGATCATTCAATTGTCCAATTCACCAACTATATGGTACACAGTCCCATCATAATAATGAAAAAAAAAAAAAAAAAAATTAAACTATATATGGTACATAGATTCATAAGACAAAATCAAGCGCCAACTCCTTTACATCTACATTACTCAGGAACTCAGATATCATATAGAGAAAGCTTTCCAGAAACCAATAGGCTATCATATAGAGGAAGCTTTCCAGAAATTAATAGGCTTCCGTTGCTGAAACAAGATTGTAAAAAGTAATTTGCATTAGTAACTACCTACTAATATTGAAATACTAAATGTATTTCTTGCTATAAAATCATAAACATTCAAATAATGAAACATAGATTCATCATCTTTGTCAGAGTGTCAGTCATAAGTACCTGATCAATGGGCATCTTCATTCTCACAGATTCAATATATGAAAAGTTGATATCTGCTACAGCTATTCCAGTTGACAGCTTATCTGTAAAAATAGAGATAGTAGGGACGATGAGACACAAATAGCATCCGGCCAACACTTGAGTAAATTAAGAAGTCGAGTATTTCAATATATCCAAAAGTCCCAAACTATGCTATAGTTTCTTCTACTTCTTTAGAACTATACCAACATTTCTTTTTTGGGGTCGTATCTTAACATTGGTAAATAGTTTGTATTAACTTAGGAAGTTAGATATTTTTGTTGATTAATTTTTTTTTTATGACCCAAGTAGCATGGGATACATACAAATGGCCATGATCGCACCTTGACTAAACTAATTCATCATAAACCAGGGTGAGGAGTACAGATTAGATACTCGGAAAATGACAGCCTCAGACTTAGGATGCAATCTCTAGAATGGTGAAACCTTAAAACCTAAAATGACCTCTACGTGAGTTAGCTGTAAGACCTTGAGAAGCTGAAATCAGCAAGCGAAAGGAGAAGGGAACATTGTGCATTGTGAGTAAGCGAGAAATGACTCTAGTTGGACGGGCTGGGTTTTATCAGGTCATCAAAAGCTGGATCTGGAAAGTAGATAACATAAAAGAAGTGATTGAACAGGAATTTACAAGGAAGAAAATTATAGCATGCCTGTTTCCTTTTCCCTCTCTCTAATTAACACACTATCTAACTTATAAAAGAGACCGGAAATAATAGGCTTGAGTTGTATTCATTTAGTATTTATGTCTCTCTGTTGAAACCCTCTCTCTTCTACCTTAAACTCGAAAGACTGAGGTGTAGTAGAGAAGATAGTTTAGTTTGTCCTTTGAAGATGATTTTCCAGGACTCCCAGAGTGAAACTATTTCTCGCCTTGTGATCCTGAGATATTAAGTTCTTTCACTTCCAAAGGATTGGTTCCAAACTAAGGGTAAGGTTCATATCAAGGCTCCAAATTCTTTCACTTTCATCTCTAATAACTAACTTAGTAGTGTGGTTGTGGATTACATCCCAGTGGCCTTAGACAGTTAATCTTCAATTCTGGAATACCCCACATTCGTATCAACACGACTTTTGATAAGCTTCTTTTTTTTTTTACTCTTTTTTTTTTTTTTTTTTTTTTTTTTCGGTCCGGTTCGGTTCAGTAAATCGGAACAGGCCCTTACTTTACATCAGGGACACACACCAACCCACTGACTGTGGGACGGAGGAGTATTTGGCATATAGATTTCTTTGGCAATGGGAAATGCGTCTGTTTTGAGGTAATAACATCATGTAACAGACTAACAGCTCAGAAGTTTGTCTTTAAGCCTTAAAAGAGTCAAATGCTTTTGAAAAGATGCTTGGCTTTACTAATATGCAAGAAGGAACCTTACCAGAAACAACAAGAAAGGTGTACTCTGTACTGTGTCACATCATTTATTTTTTTTATCAAGGATTGTTCATTTCACAAATTCAAAAAAATAAAAATAAAAATAATATATACTCAGAAAATCTTGATAGACAATCTAAATTGAGAGAGAGATTCATGAAATAGTTTTCTCCTGTGAAATTTGAACAAGGTAATTAGCTTACCAGGAAGCCGCCCAACTATTGTTCCCCAAGGATCAATGATCAAAGAGTCTCCATAGCTTTCCCTTTTATCATTATGCCTTCCAGCTTGTGCTGCAGCAATCACCTGCAAAAGAAAGGGTCATTAAAAATGTTTTCTATGAAACACATACAATGACGGAACTCCCATTTGATAATTCTAGTTATAGATTCTTATAGAAGTAAAGATCCATGGATCAACCATTATCCCGAAGGTTTCAACACTAAAGAAAATCTTATAGCTGATAGATCTAATTCAGCAAACAAGTTCTACTTAAAATATAACATTTTTATAAATGATTTATAGTAGAAAGTAACATTTATGATGATGAATAAAGACTGAAGAAAGCTTGGTCCATGTTGAAGAGGTCTTGTATAATATGCTCACAGTATTTCCAGGATACATAAGATCGACGTTTTGGTTTAATGAATTAAAAATGCTAGAAAAGTCATAGACTAACGACGATTTATATATTTTTGGTTAGATCTGAGTCGTTATATCATATAGATTTAATATGAGTCGTTTATTATACTAATCTTATATCTGTATTTGTGATCAATTAGCAGTATATTCAAGAGGTCCTTATACTACAGTTGTCTGATTAATTAGCTAAAGATACATACGATCAAATAAGTTGGTCTACAATTCTCCCATTTCCATCTTAAAGTAATTGGCTCCTTCATTATGGTATTTGAACTGTTTCTCTTCTTGACTATCTTATACAGCTGGTAACTTGTTATTTGATATAATTTTAAGGTGTCATTGAACCTTGATAATTTGATTTTTGGTTCTCTTTTACTCTATTTTTATGCAATTTTTGTGTATTATATACTTCACAGGTTGTTTGTGTTTTTGTTGATATTTTAGGCCCAAAGACACCCAATTGAAGCTCATGGATAAAGAACCAAAGTTAGAAGCAAGGAGATGATGGAAAGAAGCCAAGGCAAATGAGCTCTAGCCAAGTTAAAGAGAAGAGAGCAGGGGCGCGGCCTCTCCATGGAGTGGCGCGACCTCTCCTGCTGGCGCGGCCTCTTCTGTCCATTGGATAGACCTCTCCAAGTCTGGCCTAAGGTTCCAGCCTCCCGTATCAGTTTTGAGGAGTTTGGTGTGGCACGACCTCTCAAACATGTGGCGCAGCGGCCTCTCTTGGTCAGTGGAGAGGCCTCTCCCACATGATACTAAAGTTCTTGCCCACAAAGTCAGTTTTGGTGTTTAGGATTCAGCGCGACCATGCCACATGGACCGGCCTCTCTAGATCAGTGGAGAGCCCTCTCCACCTTGCTGTAGTACTTCCTGTTGTGGTAAGAATTCGTGAATTTTTGGAGGCGCGGCCTCACCAACATAAGGGTGCGTGGCACGGCCTCTCTAAGCCATGGCGCGACCGCGCCCATCTTTTCCTGCAAACTTTACTATGTTAATTAGGGGGATATAAATAATTCTTTGGCTTCTTTTTTGTACAGATATTCAATTTGTTGGTTTTTGTTCCTTCTTTGTTCTTGGTTTTTTTGCTTTTGCTTAGGATGGCGATATAGAGCTTGTTTATTTTGAAGAGGGGGTTGATTGTTGTGATGTTGAGGTTGGTTTTGGTTTTTGTTGTAGTTGTTTTGTAGAGGGTCATGGTTGTGTTGTTTATATCTCGTATTTTGTTGTGGTTTCCAACCTTGGTTGTAGGGTTGGGAGTATTGATCATTTCTTTGCCCAACAGCTGCCGCTTATTCAAGAGTTGAATTACAATAGGAAGATATGTGATCGTTTCGTCCACAAGTCTCACAAGACATGATTTGTGAAGAGGAGCTTGCAGATGTGAGGTTGCTAGGTTTAGCTCGTGAGCTAGCATATCAAACTTTGATGCAATAAGATCTTTTGCACTAAGATCATGAATAACACCTTTCTTTTATTGGGTTTTCCTTCGATCACCTCCATATGCGTAGTGCTTAGCGACTTCTTCAATCATTTTGTAAGCCTCATCCATTGATAGCTTTTTAAGGCTACCACCAGGTTGGCCAAATTAGCCCTAGAAATAAGAATAAGAACATCATAAAAGCTTTGCACGATGATCCATGATGTAAAACCATGGTGGGGACATTTCTTTGTGTAATCCTTGAAGCGCTCCCAAACTTCCCTCAATTGGTGATTTTCCTTCTTAACTCGGCGGTCTTCTCTGGAGGACAATACTTTCTAAGGAAAGCTCTTGTTACTTCATCCCACGTTCCCAATGATCCCTCTTCCACGGTTGTGAACCAATATTTTGCCTTGTTTTGGAGAGAGAATTGGAACATATGCATCCGAATGAACTCTTTAGTGATGTTATTTTGCTTTATCGTAGTGCACAATTCAAGGAAGTTGTCCAAATGAGCGAAAGGGCACTAATGAAAACTTCCCCTAAATTGATCACTTTGGATCATTCGGATGAGTTGCGGTGAAAGCCCAAAATTGTTTGCATTGGAGGGGAGAAGTATGCCACTCTGAAGTTGGAAAGCATTGGGGTGGTCATAGTCTCATAGCAATGGTCGAGTAGGAGGAAAATTTTCACCCATGGTAAATTCCTCGTTAGTTCCAAAAACTTCTTTCGGGCCGACCCGAATAAACAATGGAGAATTCACCGCAAACAAGAGCTTTCCTTCAAAAGTATTGTCTTCCAGAGAAGACCGCCGAGTTAAGAAGGAAAATCACCAACATCAATCAAGAGGTAGATGAGACACTAAGGGAAGCTTAGGAGCGCTTCAAGGATTACACAAGGAAATGTCCCCACCATGGTTTTACATCATGGATCATCGTGCAAAGCTTTTATGATGGTCTCACTCCTATTTCAAGGGCTAACCTTGATTCCGGAGTCGATGGTAGCCTTAAAAAGCTATCAGTGGATGAGGCTTACAAAATGATTGAAGAAGTCGCTAAGCACTAGCATATGGAGGTGATCGAAGGCAAACCCAATAAAAGAAGGGTGGTATTCATGATCTTAGTGAAAAGATCTTATTGCATCAAAATTTGATATGCTAGCTCACAAGCTAACCAAGCAACCCTCACATCCGCAAGCTACCCTCTTCACAAGTCATGTCTTGTGAGACTTGTGGACGAAACAATCACATGTCCTATTGTAATTCAACTCTTGAGCAAACGGTGGCGGTTGGACAAAGAAATAATCAAAACTCCCAACCCTACAACCAAGGTTGGAAACCCAACAAAACACGGGATGGAAACAACACAACCAAGGCCCTCCACAAAACAACTACAACAAAAACCAAAACAAACCTTAACATCACTACAATCAACCCCCTCCTCAAAATCAACAAGCCCCAAATCGTCATCCTAACCAAAAAAACCAAAACTAACAAAGACCACAATATAACCAAACCCCACCCCTTCCTCAAAAATCTGGCTTTGAGTCCGTTCTTGAAAATTTCATGACCCACACAATCAAAGAAGCAATGCAAAACATAGACAGAAGCACAAGCTTGAGTTTGATACAAGGTTGATATTGCAGGAATTAGGTAGACTCAACATAAGGATGGTTATATCTTCAAGATGAAGGGTGTTAAACTGCTAGAAGTATACATGGACTTATAGTGTAAGTAACTTCATTCATATGTTGTGTCATGGTAATAGCCCTGTTCTTCCCTCCTTTACGATCTTTAGTTGTAATTCACCTTTTTTTTAGCTTCATGCCAGCTAGTGATTGCCAAAACAGAACCATAAATTATGTTTCAAATATGAAACAGTAATTAGGCGCTTATGGTAAATTTCATCACATGTCATATTCTCATATTCATGATAATAGGTCCCTTTCACTCCTTGATGCTCTCCAGTTGAGATTCACTTAGTCTTTCACTTCATATCAACTAGTATTTGCTAAACTAGGAGTCCAGGACCAAAATATATTGATTGAAATGAGACAGGACAATGGTCATTGCATGAGATTTGAGAATAGAGCTTAAAACATGGTTCTACACAGTACTATAATATTGCACAGCATCAAACTATTAATGCTGCCACAATGAGAGGAATCAGCCAGAAAGAGTGGGTGATGTACTGCTGTGTGTCTTGGTGGAGGGAGGGGGTGAAGGGGGGGGGGGGGAGTGGGGGTCGGGGTGGGGGGGGGGGGACAATTCAAGCCCTTAGATAGCATGAGACAGGACAATGGTCATTGCATGAGATTTGAGAATAGAGTTTAAAACATGGTTCTGCACAGTACTATAATATTGCACAGCATCAAACTATTAATGCTGCCACAATGAGAGGAATCAGCCAGAGAGAGTGGGTGATGTACTGCTGTGTGTCTTGATGGAGGGAAGGGTGAAGGGGGGGGGGGGGGAGGATAATTCAAGCCCTTACATAGCATTGACTTTCAATGGCACGAGCACGCAGAAGTATCTCCCAGTGGGCTTGACCAGTTATCTTTGTGAATGCTGAAGGTACCAATAGAACCTGAATATTAAACAAGATGTAAGTAGGTAGCATAGTAGTTGTACCAACTTAAAATTCACAGCAATAGAGGTGCTATTCCTACTTGAGCTTGATGATGAAACCGTAAGCACTCATACATTTCTGGAAATCGTAAATCATAGCAAACAGTGAGGCCCAAGCGTCCACAGGGACTATCTACTGCCACAACATCCTTGCCTGAAAATTGAGTACATCACCAAAAGAGTATAATCTGTATTCTGTAAATATCCTAGGAGATGAAGAAAGAAAATTGCCAATTCAATTTACAAAAAATAAAAGAATAAGGCAACGTTATAAGACCAAACAAGAACAAAATCTAGTATTTGTACCAGTGGTGTATTGTCACTAATCCTAAAAAAGCCACTAGACTAATGTCATGAGTTTTTCTTATTCAACCATTGCTGATGAAAACAGCCCAAATACCACTATTATTTACAAAACAGCACAAGAATAGCAATAGGTATTACCTGTAACTGCAAATTTTATATGGTACACAGTGGCAATTTTACATCATTTTGGTAAACAAAATTGGGATAATTGAAAACATTAGTAAGTTCAATGGCATTTCCAGGAAAAGTGACAAAACTTGATGGCACAGATGGCTTTTGTCTCAATCCGACTGCCTAGAATACAAGTTGCTAACCTGCTTCAGTAAAACTGCTTTCCTTATAAACCATTCCGCCAGGGACATCGACATCAAACCTTCAAAACAGTAAACAAGACAAGGATCTCAATTAATAACCTTTTAATTGCTCAACCTCCCCAAAGTTCATTGGCTATTTTGGCCTTTTGGGGGCATGCTATCACATTAATCAGGATCATAATTAGAGAAATAATGAGCTCAAGGGAGACAAAAAAAAGGTATAAAAAGCCAGCTCTTGAATGTCTGACAATTTTGTAATTTCATCTCGTACAAAAGTAAGTTATACACAGTTTTCTCAGGTCCCTGGCACATTTCACCTCAAAAATTCCTGTACAGAAGTACCCACTCACGAGTGAAGTTTGCAAGTTAAGAACTCAAACACTGCAGGATGGCATGAGGTCCCTCACTCTCAGAATGTTCGTTCTTGTAGAAAATGGTACAGTAGTGCTTGATAAAAAAGAAAAGAAGTTAGTCAATTGAAAGGAAGCAGTAAAACATACAAGTGTATTTTGGAATATTTGCTTCTGATTTTTCCAGTATCATCAACTATCACATGTGTGTTACGCAAATGAGAATCGTCAGATGCCTTTTCCTGAAAACCTCCGAGAGACAACCATATCTGAGATTCTCTGCAATCCATGCCAAAGAAAACAGTCAAAGGAAGCAAGAAGCCGGAAATGTCATTCACCTTGAGAATATGACTTTGACTCAAAAAATATCCATAGATGCACATGACTTGAACTGTAACACTTTCCAAGAACCCACAAATTGATTTGAAAATGAAACATAGGGAAAAATATTTGGTGAAAGTATCCAAAGGCGAAAGTTATAGATTAAAGGGAAGGAAGATATGTTTATACAAGCTAAATTGCTAAAAGCATTATTCATCTGATCAATGATAGATAGGCCTAAAACTAATAAAACTAGAAATATTATGTAAGATAGTACCTCACCTGGCAAGACTGCAGTATCCTTGCATTATTGGTCCATCCAATGGTTCCGCAATCTTAACGCTGTCCCCAAGATTAGCACCTACATAAGAGAAACTCTCTGGAAAGCAAAGCAATTTGGCCCCAGCAGCTGCTGCTTCCTGTGATAGTAAATTTGAGCTCCATGTAGCAATAGTAAGATTATAGACTCAAGCGTATAACAGAATGTGGGAGAAAATAGAAAGATAACCCAAAGGGTTTGATTTAACTAAACCAAAAATACAAAATTAGACCATGAAGATGCTAGAGTCAACCTAAATTCAATGTAACAAAATAGTAATTATCGTAAGATTTTGAATTCCTAATAGACAATAGTATAACCATGCATTGACCTACACCAACTTTAAATCTCATGGAGAAGTGAGGTGACTAAATACCCTATATAGTGCTAAAACAGAATTGACAGATTTTTTTATTGATATGCTCCTAACATATATACCACGGGTAATTTTCTGCCGGCAGCTGATTGCTACTTTAGCATAACCCTTTTAAGATAACATTTTTCTATACTTAAACAGGATGAATTACTGAGATTGTTAGGACAAACAATTCATTTCATGTATTAAAGAAATTGGATCATTAATAATTTATAGTATGTTCTTCAAAGCAATGGAAAGTTTAGAAGAATTTCAGTTCAAACCAAAATGGTGCACATATTACGGAGTAAATTTTTTGGAACCGGAGGGTTTAGTTACATTTCAGTTCAAGAATTAAAAGTGACGTCATGACGACTACATGTATTTTATCAAGAACTGTACCGGTTAAAGGAATCAATCTATCAATAAGTATTATTATCTGGGAACAAAAAGCAGCTGCACATAAACTGAATTATGATGAAAAAAAACTAACTTTTTTGGGTGCAAAAGAGGGGCTAATCCCAGCAAATAAATAAAATTTTAAGCAATTACAAAACATAGCAACACTATAGTGATGATATCTTCTTCTAGACTCGTCCCAAAATCATGAAATGGCCTCTAGCAGTATTGTTATCTTGCAAGCCTGCTAACACGACAACACTTCTCTTCACCAATTAATTCGTGGCTCGATTACATTAGTGATAAAAATGCACTAATGTAATCTCTACCTGGTAGTATTTTGGCATACTAATGTTCTAACAGCTAATCTTTTATCAATATTCTCACATAGATTCTCAATGTCTATCAAATTTCTCACAGAGATGCCCAAATGTTTTCCTGGTCACCTAACAGTTAAGGTCAGCATATTGGAATGCTCCAATCGTCTATAGTATCAATCTCTAAGAGCATCACTAGTCAATCTTTGATTCTCAAATTAATGTGTCGTGAGAAGTAGATTCAGGATTTACTAAAGCTGATTTTTTGGCCAGATGCTGCACAAATCCTGTAAAGTCTTGGTGCGTGATTGTTGGCTTGTTGCTTGTTCCATTTTCTCTTATGCAAAGAATAGATTATAATGCCATCATGCAATTGCTTCCTCAAGTACTTGACTGAGTCTCTCCAATCTCCATACACATCATAAAGGTAAGGCAGTAAGGGATCTCCTTGTTATATCCTTGTGTTTGGAGTAAATGATTGTGTTGGTTCACTATTCCATAAGATTTTCAACTATGAAGACATACACATTCCCTATTGCTTCAATAACAATTGAGAAATTAGACTTACCAACAAAGAGTGTCATAAAATCAAAAATCATGCATGTCCAATAATTTCTTAAATTCAATTATCAAGTCCATAAAAGATAAAACCAATCGCCCCATATGTATTCTTCATAGAGCAGATCACTTCTCGAACTATCGAAATACGGTCTATGACATGCCATTCCCGAACCAAACTAGGTTGAAGTAAGGTGGGAAAGAAACAGTTTAATTCAGTTCACTAAAGCTTAGGTGATGATTTTGTGGACAACATTACAAAGGCTAATGGTAAAGAAATGAAAAGCTTTCTCCAGGTTGTTGACTTCCAGGACTAACACAATAATGTTTTCGTTTAAATTTTCAAAGACGACTTTATCTTTCACTAGTGTCGACTTGTCAAAATTAAGCAATAGTGTCCCAATTTAATTTTTATATAGAAGAGAGCATGATATCTGTTAGGTTGGGCTCCTTGAGAGCTCCCATACTTTACCATCGCTTCTACATAACTCCTTATAAAGATTAAAGTCAAAATGAGGAAATAAAATCTTATATTTCTCTCCAAAGATCTATTCTACGAGTTGGGTTTGGGCTTGCCTGTCATAAATTTACCAAGGTAAATCTCCCACTCCTCAAATTTCCATAGTTATGCGTTGGTGACATTGGAATATTGGTTCCACTTAGACAGGATCATATAACCCCGACATAGCCATTATTACCAAAATAAGGGCAACCTTATAAGAATGGTCTACCACCCATGTGCATTTCAATCAAATAAAAAACATTAGAATGGATAATGCAGTCAGGTTCATGCAGAACAACCATAAATGCATTGTTTTTGTCCTGTACATTTCAGACCATGTTCTTGATTGGATTAGTAACTGAAACGAAATTAGGGATGCTATTTCCATAAAAACATGGATTGCAGGTAGAGTTTTTTGCATAAGAATTTGATATCAAACGTGAAACACCCACATCATTGGGTTACGTATTAAAATCATGGACTCATGGTCAACAGTAAAGTTCTAGCATTAATCCTATCCACGGTTAAAAAAGCGCCTCCATAATATAATTAGGGGGTTTGCAATCCCCTAATTATATTCATAAGGTTATAAGTTCATAAGAATCGGAACTCAACACGACATGACCTACATTTCAACGTAATCAAGGCCAAAATTCAGCTCTATCAGAAGGATAACAAGGTATTGGAGTGATACAACAAGACATGTGCAAACAGCGGAACAATACAGCAATATTAAACTGCCTACTTGGCGCTATTAAAGCAGAAAACAACAGAATTCCCTGAACTTAAGATAGTTAAGGTCAAGTAACTGAAATCATAATGTTCAGCCAAGATGACAATTTTCCACCTCATTTGAATTTGAAATACAAAGAACGGGAAAAAACAAAATTAACCTCAAAGTAAAATGGACCATTTTAAAAATTAGGCAAGTTCTACATGTACCCGGTGTTGGAAAAAAGGAAGGAATCCAAATGGCCTGACCCGGGCGCCCGACCGGGTGCGAGAGCAGCCAATCTTTTGGCTGATGCTCGACCGATCAGGAGCGAGAAGAGTCGTAAAATTCTAAGTTCCGTCGCCCGACAGGGCGAGCCTTGCCCGACCGGGTGCGAGAGGGAGCTTGGAAATTGAAGGAAGTTCGCCTGACCGGGCGCGAGAGCCGCCATTCTTTTGGCTGATTCTCGCCCGACCGGGCCCGGGTTCGGCTGTTGGGTTGCTTGGCCTCCTTAGATTCTTTTCTTCTTCAATCTTCTTGTAACCCCTCACTTAAGAGGTGTTTTATGTTAATTAAAACACATGTTTTACTTCTGATTTTTCCCACCTTTTCACTTTCCTTGATCTTCCATCTTCCTTCTTGTTTTCTATATATGTTGAAATCAGAAATTTTCTGATTTATCTTTTCATATACTTATGAGAAAAATACAAGAGCTAAACACATTAAGCTAGACACATTCTATATTCTTTGGGCATAAGTTTGCACAGGCTCCACCTCTCACTCTAAAGTTCCTTAGCGTGAGAGTGGTGTGTAACCTTAGGGGACGATCCGACGAATACAATTGAGCACCCTGTTTGCGCCAGAATTCGTTTTCAAAGGCAGTGATTATTCACGCCACACCGAATTTCTTATTCTCTTCTTCTTGTTCATTTTACTATTGTTTAGACTTCTATTTTACAATAATTTTGAAAACGAATTATGTCCATTACTAATAGTGTTTTGAGCAAGACTCTTCCCGACCTCTCTAAGTTGGAACCACTTGATGGTAACAATTATAAGAAATGGTCACAAAAGCTACTAATCTTTTTTGAGCAGTTAGAAGTTGATTATGTGTTGATTGAAGATGTCACTGAGGCAGTCCCGGCCATATCGGAAGCTTTGAAAAAGAAGGAGAAGGACAACAAGCTTGTTCGTGGCCATCTCCTCAACCACATGAATAATATTTTGTTTGATTTGTTTGTCAATTTCAGGTCAAGCAAGATAATATGGGATTCCTTGGAGAAGAAATATGGGTCGGATGATGCCGGTAAAAAGAAGTACATGGTGGGCAAGTGGATTAATTTTAAGATGGATGATGAGAAGCCGATCATGTCTCAAGTCCATGTCTATGAAAATTTGGTGACCGAAATTCTTGGTGAAGGCATGAAGATGTGTGAGACTCTTCAAGCCAATGTTCTCTTGGAGAAATTCCCTCCTTGGAATGACTACGGGAACCTATTGAAGCACAAAAAGGACATGACCCTCCAATAACTCATTAGCCACATGAGAACCGAAGAGGCTAATCGCCTAATAAGTTTGAAAATTTGTCTCTTAATTCTTCTAAGGCTAATCTAGTTGAATCTTCTTTGAATGTTTCAAAAAACAGGAAAAACTTTAAGAAAAAGGGGAACAATAAGTCCAAAATCAATTTCTCTCACAACAACAAAATCCAAAAATCCAAAGTGACATGCTATGGGTGTGGAGTTGTGGGTCACAAAGCTTTCCAGTGCACCCGTAGACATGGTGTCAAGAAAGATGGTTCTACCTATCAAGCCAATCTTGTGGAAAAGGAGGACATCATTGTAGCAGTGGTGGTTGAAGCCAACTTGGTGGAGAGCAAAGCTGAGTGGATTTTGGACACCGGAGCATCGAGGCATTTTTGTGCGAACAAAGCTTTAATGATTGAGTTTGAAGATGTCACCGACGGCGATCATGTCTACATGGGCAATAGTAGTACCACCGGAGTCCTTGGCAAAGGAAAGGTCCATCTCAAACTCACCTCTGGAAAAACTTTATTTTTGAATAATGTGTTGTATGTTCCCTCCCTTAGGAGAAATCTTGTTTCGAGAGCCCTTCTCAACAAAGCCGGCCTAAAACTTGTCTTTGAGGCCGACAAGATTGTAATGTCTAAAAATGGAGACTTTGTTGGGAAAGGTTACCTCGATAATGGTTTGTTTGTTTTGAATGTCATGAATGAGACTGGAAGTACTTCTTTTGCTTATATTGTTGAGTCTTTGGATGTTTGGCACAATCGTTTGTGACATTTAAATTCTTCTTATTTGAAAAAATTAAAGGACATGAATTTGATTAATTTTTCAATGGATGATAAACTTGACAAATGCCAAATTTGCGTTGAGGCCACACATACTAAGAAACCGTTTAAGCAAGTGGTCTCAAGAAGTACAAAATTACTTGAATTGATTCATTCGGATTTAGCGGACTTTTAAAATTGCACTAGTAGGGGTGGGAAAAATTATTATATTACCTTTGTTGATGATTTTTCTCGCTATACCAAAGTTTATTTGCTTAAAACAAAAGATGAAGCCGAAAGTGCATTTTTAAAGTACAAAGCCGAAGTTGAAAATCAATTGGACTTGAAAATCAAAAGAGTCAGGACCGATAGAGGTGGTGAATATGGAAAAGATTCTTTAAATGATTTTTGTGAAGCCAATGGCATCATACATGAAACAAGTCCACCTTACACACCCCAGTCAAATGGTATTGCCGAAAGGAAAAATAAATCTTTAAAAGAGACTATGAATGCCATGCTTCTTAGTTCCGGTTTATCCGATAATTTATGGGGAGAGGCGGTTCTTTCCGCTTATTATGTTCTTAATAGAGTGCTCCATAAAAAATTGGATAAAACCCCCTATGAACTTTGGAAGGGTTATAGTCCAAATTTTAAAATTTTAAAAGTGTGGGGGTGTTTGGCTAAGGTGGCTTTTCCAGATTTTAAAAGGTCCACCATCAGATCTAAAACTTTTGATTGTGTGTTCATTGGATATGCTCATAATAGTGCGGCCTATAGGTTCATGCTTTTAAATGATAAATCGATTTGTGAAGCTAGAGATGCAGTATTTTTTTAGCATATTTTTCCTATGAACAAGCCTTTGTCTTATAATGTTGATATGCATGCTAGTGAGTAAAGTGTGAGTGTGCCTTTGGTTGATTCTTTGTCTAGTTCTAGTCTCCCCTCTTCCTCTACCAAAGTGGTAGAAGTTGTACCTAGGAGAAGTAAGAGACCTAGAGTAGAGTCTTCCTTTGGACCGGACTTTTTGACTTCTTTTGTGGTAGAAGACTTTGATATGAATTGTTTGAATGAGCATGTTGTGTCTTTGTTTCTCTTGGAGGAAGACCCTAAGACTTATGATGAGGCAATGAGGTCTATAGATGCTAGTTTTTGGAAAGAGGCCATTAAGAGTGAACTTGATTCTATTATGACCAACCATACTTGGGACCTTTGTGACTTGCCTAAGGGTTCTAAACCTATAAGTTGTAAGTGGATATTCAAGAAGAAACTTAGACCGGATGGGACCATAGATAAGTTTAAGGCTAGGCTTGTCATTAGAGGTTTCACCCAAAGAGAAGGTATAGATTTCTTCGACACCTATTCTCCCGTGACTAAGATTGCCACCATTAGGACCTTGGTAGCTCTTGCGGCGATTCATGACTTAGTGGTCCACCAAATGGATGTTAAAACGGCTTTCTTTAATGGAGATCTTGATGAAGAGATCCATATGACTCAACCGGAAGGGTTTGTGGTGAGAGGACAAGAGCATAAAGTGTGTAAGCTTAGAAAGTCCCTTTATGGTCTTAAGCAAGCTCCTAAGCAATGGTTTGAGAAGTTTGATAGTACTCTTAAGAGTTATGGCTATGTTGCTAATTCTTCGGATTCATGCTTGTACTCTAAAGAGTTTGGGTCATCATGTGTTATAATTTGTTTATATGTTGATGATATGCTTATTGTTGGTACTAACCTTGTCGTTGTGAATGATGCCAAGGCTATGCTTTCTACTAAATTTGAAATGAAAGACATGGGAGAAGCCGATGTTATTCTTGAAATTCGATTAAAGAAAACAGATAATGGTTTTTCCATGAGTCAATCTCACTATGTAGAAAAGATTCTAAAGAAATTTGACTCTTTTGATGTTGTTCCTAGCAAGGTACCATATGATGTCAACTAAAAGTTAGTAAAGAACAAAGGTTCTAGCGTGTCTCAAGAGCTCTATGCAAGGGTAATCGGTAGTGTTATGTTCTTAATGAATTGTACACGGCCCGACATTGCCTATGCGGTGAGTAGACTTAGTAGCTATTCTCACAATCCAATTGAAGATCATTGGGTTGCTCTTTGACGGATACTAAGGTATCTCAAAGGTACCATGGAGGTATGCTTGCATTTTAATCGCTTTCCTAATGTTTTAGAAGGCTATTGTGATGCTAATTGGGTAACCGATAATGATGAGGTTGTCTCTACTAGTGGGTATGTTTTTGTTTTGGGTGGAGGTGCTATTTCATGGAAGTCCTCAAAACAACCATGTCTAGCTCGCTCCACCATGGAATCTGAATTCATTGCTCTTGAATTGGTAGGTCATGAAGCGGAGTGGCTCAGGAGTCTCCTAGCCGACAATCCATTGTGAGGGAAGTCTTCTTCTCCAGTGTCCATACATTGTGATTCTCAAGCGGCTATTAGAGTTGCCAATAACAACAACTACAACGTCAAAAAGAGACATATGCGTATGAGACACAAAGTTGTGAGGCAATTTCTCAAGAATGGAGTCATTGCATTGGACTATGTAAGGTCCGAAAAGAACTTGGCGGATCCTTTGACGAAAAGGTTAGCAAGAAAACAAGTTGAAGAATCATCGAGGGGAATAGGACTTAAGGCCATGTAATACACTATGTTTGTCCTAGTTCCTATGGTGATGGTGTTTGTAATGTGAGCTATTTTGTGAGGTTGAGTTACCTAAATTCTTAATGGGCCCTTGTGCTATTGAGATGCACGGTTAAAGGACTCACCTATGTGGTTGTGAAGACTAGCCATCTTCTATGAAAACTTGGCCGGTTTTCTAGAGCCTCCACTAGACCTAAGGTGAATATGCTTGGCTATAAAAGAGCATATCTCTTCGCGGGGTCTATGTAAATTTTGGAGTGATGTATGTGTTGTGAGGTTTTTGAGTTAGTCTTGGAGTTTCAAGGTTAGTCCACTCCATGATCAAGAGTCTAAGGGTTTCAATGTTATATCCACCCTTGCACTTGTAGCTCATTGCCTCATTTCACTAAGCACTAAGATTTCAAATTACTTATGTAATATCTAAGTGTTATGTATTAAACTCCTCTTATGCCCAATTTGTTGTTTATCCTTTCTTTGTTGATTTTTCTTCCTTCCTTTAGTGGGGGATTGTTGGAATAAAGGAAGGAATCCAAATGGCCTAACCCGGCGCCCGACCGGGCGCGAGAGAGCCAATCTTTTGGCTGATGCTCGCCCGACCGGGCGCGAGAAGAGTCGAAAAATTCTAAGTTCTGTCGCCCGACCGGGCGCAAGAGGGAGCTTGGAAATTGAAGGAAGTTCGCCCGACCGGGCACGAGAAGAGTCGTAAAATTCTAAGTTCCGTCGCCCGACCGGGCGCGAGAGGGAGCTTGGAAATTGAAGGAAGTTCGCCCGACCGGGCGCGAGTTCGGTTGTTGAGTTGCTTGGCCTCCTTGGATTCTTTTCTTCTTCAATCTTCTTGTAACCCCTCACTTAAGAGGTGTTTTATGTTGATTAAAACACATGTTTTACTTCTGATTTTTCCCAGCTTTTCACTTTCCTTAATCTTCCATCTTCCTTCTTGTTTTCTATATATGTTGAAGTCAGAAATTTTCTGATTTATCTTTTCATATACTTATGAGAAAAACACAAGAGCTATTAAGCTAGACACATTCTATATTCTTTGGGCATAAGTTTGCATAGGCTCCACCTCTCACTCTAAAGTGCCTTAGCGTGAGAGCGGTGTGTAACCTTAGGGGACGATCCGGTGGATACAATTGAGCACCCCGATTGCGCCGTAATTCGTTTTCAAAGGCAGTGATTATTTACGCCACACCGAATTTCTTATTCTCTTCTTCTTATTCATTTTACTATTGTTTAGACTTCTATTTTAGAACACCCGAGTACAAAGGCGCAGTTAAACCATGTCTACCCAAGGGATCAAGGCCCAAGGATACATTTAGAGGTGTTAAAAACCGACCTGACCCAAAACTAACCCAAAGACCCGAAAAAAATCAAATTCAGGTTTCAACTAGTATGGATTCTATAATTGATTAATTGAACCTGACTTAAATTAAAAATAGACCTGACCCGACTTCACAAATCGGATTGGACATCCGAATGGACACATTTTTACTCATTTGAAATTAGAGACAAAAATAATAATGCGTGGGCACGCGGGTACACGATTGTGATTCTACCCATTTCCTAAACAGCAGAATACAATCAAATTACATTGACTATAAGGAAATTAAAATTTTATTATATAAATTCATCAACAAAAACTCAATTTGCCTAAATGTATGATCAAAGGATTAAGCCAATCATTGAAAAATCAAGGAATAAAAAAAAATTGTACCTTGACTAGACGAGAACAGGTGGCAAAATTGGCCGAGAGATCGTTGACAGAAGTGATCTGGGCGACGGCAACTCTGGCTGAGTTAACGGCCATGGTTAAATCGCCGGCACGTGACCCCACGTGATATCTGGGTTGACTGGTGGTGAACAAGGGAAATGCTGCTGCTGTTGTTATTGATGCTGAGGACAAGCTGGTAATAACCGCCAACATTTCAACGTCATTCACTTCTTAATTCTATGTTTTTTTTTTTGGTTAAATACTACTCCCTCCATCCCTTATTTACATGCCTATTTCCAATATTTATTATTCACATAATAAAGAGAAATAGGCATATAAATACGGAACGGAGGAAGTATTTCCTTCGTCCTATAATATAATTCCAGTTTTCCTATTTTAGAGATCTAAAATGTTGCTCCTTTTTTTATTTTTGAATAGTATGTAAAGACCATTATAATCTCACTTTTTTAACTTTATTCATTGTACTTCCGAATTGGACGGAGTATTGTCCTCTGATTTTGGTTCGGCCAGGAACGCCAGACCACAAGCTGTCGAGCAAGAGGCAGAAAACCCGGACGCTGGCAGGCGGACGAGGAAACAAATATGGTAAATTTCGATGACATGTACGCGTACCTAGTCGGTGATGTAGCCCTCGCCTTCCTTCATGACAAATTCGACAAGTTCAAAGAATTTCTCATGTTTGGGAGAGGCTACCACATTCAGCCACCGAAGCATTCCTATTCGGTGGCCGCCTTAGATGATGAAGGGGCTCAAAGTAGGAGCTTCAATGTGTACTGGGCTGCCTTGGAGGTGGGCCTCCGCTTTCCCCTTCATTCATTCATCTAGGAGCTGCTGGACTAATATGACATTGCATTGTTCCAGCTGGTGCAGAATAGCTAGGCCAACATCTTTGGGTACTTGGTGACTTGCCTAAAGAATGGCTTCACCCCCAACTTCGCGGTCTTCTACGTACGAGATGCACAATATGGTGCGGATGAACGCCCAGACGAACAGCTGGTTTATTTTAAATACTCGCCCTGACTACTTAGTAGTCTTGCACAAGCCGTCCAAATGACGCAACTAGAAGCACCGCTTCTATTGCATTAGGACCAGGAACAAGGACTTCAACCTGCAAATGAACAAGTTCAATGCCGAGCCTCTACAGCTCGGACGTGGGGATCACAAGCCGACTAGGCCACCTGTTCATTCGGACCAAGCACATCAACTTGACTATTTCAAGGTTAGGAAGGTGTTTAGAAATTGGAAGCAGGTGTTCGTGTCCTCCAACTGGATTCCACCAACGGACTTGCTCAAGGATTTGGTCTTTATGTTGGCGTCCCAGCGGACGTACAGGACAAGTTCCGGAGAATAGAATTCACGAAGAGTTCCTCGGCCCAATGATAAAAAACTGCGCTGAGGTAACCAAGCTTTCCATAGTTAACTTTGGTACTTAGTCTATTCTTTCCCTTATTTTATTCTCTTACTGTAGACACCTAATTGTGTCTCCCCAAAAACTAAACCAAGTGATAAGTACCTTTCACGTCTTTGGTTGACGAGTTCATGAAAGATTTGAAAAGTCTCGTGAATTTCCCTTAAGCCTTAGTCATACTACTAACCTTATGTAGACACCTGATTATGTCTCCCCAAAAACCAGACCCAGTGATAAGTACCTTTCACGTCTTTGATATCGAGCTAGTTGAAGAGTCTCGTGAATTTCCCTTTAGCCTTAACCATTCCTAATCTTTCCTTAAATGTTTTAAACCCAAAATCATTCATTTCGTGCCCTTAAAATCATTCATTTCGGTCCTCTTTCTAAAAACGTCCAAACCAGTCTATTTTGGTCCATCTTCTCGGTCCAATTATTGTTTAGTTGGTTGGAGCTTCAAAAGAGCTTTCCAACGATATATTATAAGCCCAAATCCGACTTATAACGAAGAAGATATGGCCAAAATACTAAACCGAGCCTGAACCAAGCCTTACCTGCGGCCCGATGATCATGTGGAGGGTCCATTTACCTTAACCCCGTTCTTAAACCAATTAGGATTTGTCACAAGCTTTTAGAATCATCTAGAAGTTTGTTTTCATTCCTAAATCCATTAGGATTTATTATGAGCTTCTAGAATCCTCTCGAAGGTTCTAATTTATCCTGTTTTCGAAAAGATAAAGATTTAAGAATTTAACATCGGATAAAACATCTATTTTTCAATTTATCCTAGTCAAAACAGAACACGTACGGATATTTGGTTAACCCAATCCGATTGGGAATTGAATTCCGTACGGATTCTATCTTTTCAAAACCATCGCTGAGCGACAGCACCATCGTGGCACGACAAAGCTATCGTGCCGCGATGAGAAGTGTTTTACTCCGATTCGAATTCTGACTTCTTTCTGATCCTTCGACCCTCTTTTTTCCTTATAAATAGTGGTCGTTTCACCCCGTTTTCAATCATCAACAAGCTTATTCACCAAACAATCATCATCTAATCCCCTCTCTAACACTCTTTCTCTCTCTCTCTTTCATGCTCTTAGCCTTAGCCTAAACACATCCTTGATACTTTCCCCAAGAAAACACCATACCTCCTTCACAAGCTTTGAATACTCCTAGCCAACCTCGAAGTTGGTTCGACCTTGGCGTGAAAGGTTGATAGTTCTGAGGGTTTGGTTCCAAATCTATATTTGAAATTATTATTTGATTTATTTATTTGATTTAATCTTTCTTGAAGTTTACTAACGTGTGTATTGTTTTGATAGAAAGAAGTACGAGGCATCAAAGTAAGTAATTCAATTACTTAATTATTCTTTTGATGTAGAAATCATGCTTAAACATTATTTTAATTCCTAGTATCATGTTAGGATGCTTTTATTATTTCTAGTATCATGTTAGGATGTCTTTATGTTTCCAGTATCATGTTATGTAAAGCTTTGATCTTTATTTTTAGTGACATGCTAGGGTTTGTTATTAATCCGTTTAGTATCATGCCTAGGATCTTGCTAATTATATTTATGATTGATTTGATTATGGTGATGATTGTTGTCTCAATTATATGTTGCTTGATTATTCATGATTTATTGTTATTGCTTGATCAAGCCCTTTCGTGCAGGTTTAAAGGGAATTTGTACTTGAAATCACGCCTAATAAGATAATTAATAATTTGATTTAGGCTAATATGATTTTAACTCAAGTGATCACCAATAATAGATTTGATTGTGCATTAATGATCAACCAACTTAGATTAAACAAGTTTAGGATTAATTTGATGTATGTATGTTGATCGAGAAGCGCACATGAATACCATAAGAATTAAGTAGAGGCTGGTTAAGGGCGGGTTCAATCTCTTTTAGGTTGGATTCGTACCATCATCCCCGAATATCCAGTCATGGTTCCGAACCACTATAGAGTTAGCGATCTCCGTGATCGTGAATGGGGTGTAACCTTCACACCGTGAACGTTTTACAAGTTCCTAAAACTTGTTGGCGTCTTTTTTTTATCTCTAGCTTCCTTCCCTTTGGACGCCACCATGCTTAAAAACAGGATCACAGTGGGGCTCAAAGTTAAGTTTGAAAAATTCCCTACAGTTTTTGGCGACTCCACTGGGAAGGATTTCTAATTTTGATTCCTAAAATTTATTTTTGCAACCGATTTAGAATGAGTGGATGTGACTTGAAATATTCTAGATATTCATTGTGCGTAATTTTGATTAACATTGCGGCATAAGCATAAAAAAGTTCGCATTGGAAAGACCATCCGTAATGCGTAAAATACATAGGATATTTACACGTAGGAAAAGCCAGAAATATCTTTCACAACTAAAATCGAATAAACACCGCGAAAAATCGGAAAAAACGTCGAATTCCAGAATTGTCGCGACGCGCTAGAATTGTCGCAAGACAGCAGGGACCATCGCCAAACGACAGCTTTTTCGCGGCGTGATAGAGTTGTCGCTACGCGACAGTATCTGTTTTCTCGCGATGAGTTCTCGCGACATTGCGCCAGTCTTCTGCTTTCGTGTTTTGACCGGTTCTAGTAATGTTTTGACGATTTTACTTCCTGAATGAGTTTTTTGACTTTTCTGAACCCATATGTGTTCTACATATGGTCTTAGCCCCTAGGAATTCACACTCCATCCACCCTAATGAATGCTCCGTGCAACAATGGGTGCATCCGAGTTTCTAAATTCACTAAACCAGGGAAGCAAGTCTAACTTGCGGGGTCCCATCCATCATGCCAACCCTCTAAGGTAAGGCTTCCGCACAATGCATCCGGACTCATAACCATGGACCCTCTTGGACACCATAATCCTTGACCTTAGATAACTAGAGCCATGGTTAGGTTACAAACTCATTGCATCATGTTGTGATTGCTTGTGCATATCTTACTAGTGATTAAACTAACCTTTTGTGTTGACTTGTTCTTGAAAATAAAGTCTTAACGAACTAACCAAGGACTAAAAAGGACTTTGATTAATTAATTGGTTAATTAATGTGAACCTATAAAGTCTTAACGTACTCGACCTAGCAGTCCATAGGCTTAAACCTTCGAAAGGATCACCGAAAACAAACTAGATTGACGATCCATTATTGGTGCAAAAATTTGGTCTGTGCTTAAGTCTAATCACATCTTAGTCCCATCGTCTTAGTCCCATGGTCTAATTTTCATAATTAACCGATTTAATGTATAAATGAGGTCTTAAGTTAGTCTTTGCTTAAGTCTAATCACATCTTAGTCCCATGGTCATTACACGAGTCTTGAACATATCACTTTCACTCACGAGTCTTTGCACACACTTTGTATATATCTTTCACCATGACCATGTCTAGAGTCTTGTGTGCGCTTTTTCCGTCATTTTTTAGGGGGGTAAGTCGGATATTATCCTCTCAACATAAACCATGTTGCTTGAAAAACTTGATTTGATCCCTATACTTGATTCTCAAAATATATACCCATTTTTTTCTTTTTCAACCCAATAAAAGTACGAGTCAATTTGAGTCAAGTCACTAAGAGAGTCAATGGTTTAATTGTATAGCAGTTGGTCAAGGAGAGAAGGGCGTTTAATCTAGGACAACACCTTTATACAAGTACTCATCTTCGATAGATCGGTTCGAAAGAAAAGAAAGATAAGAATGGCAGCCAGTCAAGAAGATTTTGAGAAACTTCAAGAAAATGTGAATGGACTTACTGAAATGCTCAAGGGACTTAGCCACCAAGTCGAGAAGAATGAAGACCCTAACAA